ACGCAATTTTCATTTTTACTTCGTTTGAAAACTTATCTCCTGCAAATTCAGAAAAATGGTGAAACGCTTAAATTAGCAAATTTCATTTTAGATTAAAATAAAAACGAAAATTTAAAACGGTTTTTCTCAAAAAACAACCCTCTAAATTTTTTAAAAAAATCACATCTTGTAAAGCAATAATTTTTACACAACATATTAAAATCACAAGGTGGTATCTTTACAGACTCAAGAGATATTGTAAGATTGGTGGCGGTAGACTGGAAAAAACCCTTAATTGAAGCGACATTTTGGCGTTTTCGCAAGTCTCAGGACCTCTGTTTCCGATAAAAATTTTATTTGTTTTTGTAGTATATGTAATTATTCTTGTAAAACTTTTCGACTCTATCACTTCAGTAACAGACAATTAGTTAAAATTTATTTATTTTTAAACAATTTCACAAAAAATTTTCAAGAAAAATTTACTATTATGATTACTTCGCCTGCTTTTATGGCACTATTTGCTTATTGTACCCTTCTCACCCAAATATATCACACTCAGTACTTTTTTTTTGACTACTAGTATTGCTTTGCTGGTTTCACTCTCAACGCTTTCTAGTATAATGCATTGAAATTCTTTATGCATTCGACTGGCGGATCTACGCGAAAATGTGATGCTGGAATTGCACTTCTCTTTTAATATTTTTGTGAAAGTAATAAAATCATTGCAAGTACTGTTGTTTTTCTGTTTTTGCAGCAGTGCATTAATTTGAAGCTTGAAGACATGTTGAGAAGATCAGCAACGATGGCTGGCATAAACAAGAAACTTTCAGTCTAAATCCTAGGTCTGGATAACCTTTACAAATAGGCTCCAAAATGAAGAAAAGAAATATTAGTAATTCTATTACCTTCATAAAAATATTAAAAGAGAGGTGCAATTTTAGCATCAAGTTTTCGCGTAGATTCGCCAGTCAAATGCATAAAGAATTTCATTGCATTATACGAGAAAGCGTTGAGAGGAAAACCAGCAAAGCAATACGAGTAGTCAAAAAAAAAAAGTACAGAGTGTGATATATTTGGATTAGAAGGCTTCAATAAGCAAACAGTGCCACACAAACAGAAAAAGTGATCATAATAGTAAATTTTTCTTAAAAAATTTCTATGAAATTGTTTAAAAGTAAATAAATTTTAACTAATTGTCC